TCGAATAAGCTGGCCGGAAAACCCAATTAAGCGGCGCCAAAAAAAAAGCTCTTGAGTTACTTCACTCAAGTAATGGACCCTAACAATAGGTACAATAAAACGAGTATTGGCTGCGTCTGAGATTAATAGCTTGAGAAAAGCTTTGTAGCATAGATTATTCCGTATTTAATGATAATTTTTGTAGTGTGAAGTTAATTACCGACAGTCGGTAAAAAGGGAGATGAATTTATTCTTCAGTAACAGAATTAAGAAATTAATTTAGTTCCAGTCAAGTCAGGATTTTGGAACGCTTGCTTGATTCTTGGTTATCTTTTTTAATTAAGAGTCTATATTTACCTAGCATGTCATTTAGAGGACCAAAACACAAAATACTTTGCATAAACTTAACAATAATGTCAAGGAGCGATCAATATCGTTGTCCCTTAATCTCTCAAGAAATGCATAACAATTACAATTCCAATAAAAATACGATAACCCCCGTTGATTACTCATTAAAATTCATCTACTTTTTTTTTTTTCTGCGCACCTAAAGATTTAGGAGTTTTAATTAGCTTCCGGGATTATCCAGGAGTTTTATTCCCTTCACTTTGCGACTTAATCAATATATATACGCATGATGCAAGGGCAAAAATTAAACGACAGATTGAGACCTTCAAATGTCATTAACATCTAAAGTCTTAGGAGAGGTGTAAGGGGGAGGGGGTTTCTCCGTAGAATTTCTATGATAATACATTTGGCAGAACGCATTTTTCGTGGTTCCATTTGTTCATGCGCTTAGCAATACCTGTCGCACAGCAGGGACCTTTAACCAAATCTATTCACGTGTAAAATCTATTAAAATTGTTTTCCACTCAAAACCGGACGGCATTGAGAAGCGATGGTTTGAAAAGGCGGTTAAAAATAATGTGAAATCTTTTTTTCAACTTTTTGTTATATTACAAGAAAATATTATTTTGCTATATAATATATCCTTCATTGATCAATCTTGTCCGGTCATGATGGCTGGAGTTTAATCTCTTTCTTTTTGACATTTTTATGAACCACGATTTCGTCTCGGTCCATAAAAACATTAGAATTCGGCCGACATTCAGCCCTCTTAGTCTCACGCTTGGTCAATGGCATACATATATATATATATATATATATATATATATATATATATATATATATCTTACAAAGTTCCCATTTGAATTTTGGGGTAGATATTGCAAATGGAAAATTGAATGCGAGCAAAAGCGATGCGGAAATTATAGAACGCGTTTGGGTTAAATTCGGAATCGGTCTGAGAAATTGACAAATGTTTACCATGAAGTGCAAACATGGCGAAAGAGTAAGGAGATCTTTTGAACGAAATGGACTTAAATTGCGCATTGCGAAAACATGTTTTGCTTAAATTTGCAAGCGAACTGTAACAAAGACAAATCAAAAGAATCGTTTGCAAAATTTAAAAAGTTTTTGTTGCAGTCAGTGAAAGAGCTGGCCGAAAGTGCGCAAGCTTGTACTGAAACTGGCATGTCATCATTCCCCGTTTGGTGGATAAATCTTTGTCATGAAGTTCAAGTCTTCTCAAGGACTAAGATGTCTTTTTCCCTTGCCACATATTACCACAACTCGTTGTCACTGCACCGAATGATTCTCGAAAATGATATACGAGGCAAGGCTTCGCCCTAACTGCAAACGCTTAAGGTACACCTGAAAAATGAATACTTAGGCAAATTACTTACCGCATGGTAAGTAAGCCCAATAGAGAGAACTATATATGGCAGCAATTAATCATAGCTTCTTTTTGCAGAGTTGAATTTTCGAATTATAAGTTACAAACAACAGGGTGGAGTCGATTACCTAACAATGTCGAAGTGCGGGTTGTATTTGGGGCGTTGGGAGCTAACGCACCGCATTTCAGTAACAGTTACACGGTAGGATCTGGGTATGAGATAAGCTTGGGGGAGGTTTGGTGAGGAGCGGATTGTCACTGTCCTAAAAATCCACCAAATCACTCGGAACAAAATAGAAAACCAAAGACAAGTAAACTTTATCCATCCCACTGTCATTAAAGCGGACATCCGGAATAAAAAAATGCATTTTGCATTATAATAAGATATTACTTGCGAAAACTTGAATCCAGCCTTAATCGATCCTTGCAAAATACGATAAGTTAGAAATCAGTTTTCGTGTTATGAATAACTGACGCCACGTATCCTTAAGCCAATACCTAGGGTTATTAGGGTCATTTTTTAACCCCTAGGGGACTGTGGCTTTTAGTTGTTCCCTCCTCACCGGCAGTCAATTTTCTTTAGTTCTCCCTTTTAACTTTATTAGCAACGACTGATCCCTCCTCCGACCCCTCTTACAACCACGTGATCTCCCCTCCTCCCCCTTCCCTGCCCTTCGGGTGATAAATGACAACTATCCCTTTCGGGATATTCATTTAACATTCGGGCCTTGCTGACGTGTTTATTCAATTTTATTCAAAAAAGGATCAAAGGAATTCATGCTCCAAATTTGGGTTAGTGCTAATGACTGCCTTCAACCTGGGTAACCAGCTCACACTGCAGATCTGAATAATTGCAAAGGAATGCAATCATAACATGTAATGAATTTCACATAGTAGACAGTTGTCCTACATCGTGTTCTTAAGAATGAACTCTCAAATTCATTGGCATCACGGATACCAGGAAGCATGTCAGCAACGAGATTCCGCTGACGTGATGTACCACCATTACAGTCGTCGGTGTTGTCGCAACAATGGATGAGACAAACGGTGCTGTTCTTGGAAAGACGCTTTTTACAGTCATAATGGTATTCCTTTAAACACTACTCCGGTGGCAGACGGAGTAGTGGGGGGAGGGGGAGGGGGGAGGGTGGGGGATCAACTGATTTTCTTAAAATGTCCTTTGCGGGGTTTGTCGCCACAAGTAGCGGGAGCCTAAAAGGCTTTGTGCAATCGTAACAGTGTCCGGTGTGTCTGTTATCGAATTGTGACATTGCACAGGTTGGAAGTTGTTTGAAAGAAACATGATAAAAACCTACAACATATCATTCATATAAAACATACAAAAACATTTTATTGTTAAAGCAGGCTCCTTCTTAAAGTAAATGTATTGAGACTGTCAAGAGAAGCTACGTTATAATCACATCTTTCATTTCTTCCTAAAATTAAAGGAGGCACACATATATTTCCTCATGTCACAGCACAAATGAATGTCAGTCTTTGACAACAATCCACAGAGACGCCAATCCGCATGTCAGCAAGAGGATAATACTGATGAACAAAGCTGAGCCAGTGTTACAGTGGTCACCATCGCAACATGTGACGTCGCACTCGAAAGAACTTGATCCAACAGCGGTCTTGCAGGTAAAGTCCGTGTTCGGAGTACACGCCGCCTTGGGGGCGCAATACTTTCTGAAAGACTCGAGGCTGCCGGTCCTGAGATACACCTTACTACACCTATCAAAACCAGACGGACACTGGTGGCTTTTCATCGTACAGTCTGTCCATGATTTGGATGAGCTGCATACATAGCAGTTTAGACTCGACACTGCGAGGAAAGGAAACGAAAAAGGAAAATTATTGACTGAGTGGTAGGGCTAAATAGGAAAACATTTTGTGCAGTTACACCTTAAGGACTGAGCACAGCAAGGTCTGTGCGTGATAATCGAGAGCCAGATACTTTCCCCGTCTGGTCTTACCTAACTCAGTTAATATGTATTTCATCATATAACCGTCGTTCTGTATTTTCTGTGCGGCAATTTTTCTGGAATTCCGGCCCTGTTCACGCCATTGCGTCTGTCCTTCATAAGGGGACTATCATACAATATCAAGTCATAATAAATATTATTCATGTCGATATAACAGCTTGCATCTTCAACATGTGGCTCTACGGGTGAGCCTACGCGGCTGTTTATTTTAATATTGTAACTACGATTTCCAATTTTCTTATACCGAATTAAACTCTTAAAAGTCTTAAACTCCGGTCCTGTAGTCTTATAAAATCGCTTTTCATTTCCTTCAGAACATCGCACACGTTCCTGAGATTGGACACCTTCGTATGATATCAAGGCATAATGTACATTATTCATGTCGATACAACAGCTTGAATATCTAACATGAGGCTTCCTAGGTTAGCACACGCGGCTATTTCGTTAAGTATCAAAACTGTGCTTTCCGATACTCTCATATCGAATTTTACTGTTCTAAAGCCATGAACCCCTGCCTGATATTCTAGTAGAATCGTCTTTCATTTCCACAAGAACATCGCACACATTCCTGAGACTCTTTCGAACAGATGAATATATTATCCCAGTGAATTTTTAACACTGTGCAAACCTTGAACAGATGTAATATGAGTTGACGACTATGATCAGTAAACGACTGCATAAATGATTGTAAGAAAGCTTTCTACCGAGTAAGAAGAGTCCATCGTAATCACGATAAAGTTTAACGAAAGCGCTGAATGATTCTGCACAAGCAGCAGGAGTGAATGATCTCAAACTCAAAGGACGCACCGAAATACGAGTCTATTCATGCACTGACATAGTTGCTGTGATCACTTACCGGCTGGAAGAAAAAGGCAAAGAAGGAAGGCTCCACCGAGCAACAGTTTCTTCATGATGACGGTTCAAATGCCTTTGGCTCTAGAAAGATCTTATCTAGATATCAAACGTTCTTGCACTCAGTAGACTTAAACAAGCAAAAAGTAACGTTTCTGTTTTTCTTTTCAGTCTGAAATTGAAATATTTTACCACACGCTTCACTTTCAGTTGCCAATCAGGATAGAGCGATAATGACTACAGGGGTCACGCTGATATCTTTTGTTTTTAACAAAGCGGTCACAATCGTTCGTAATAGAATTTCAAGCCTTCATATAGTCTGATTTTCACATATTAATATTTGCGTAGTCACCAAACAGACGAGAGATAAAACCACCAGAAAAGTAAACAAATGGCCAGTCACGAAAGCAACGCTTCGCTTTTCCTCATAAAAATTCGACGGTTCCTCATGTAAGCCAATGAAAATCAGTGTGTATACACCCCTGAACGTTGAAAATATATCAAGTCGAGGGAACAGTTTTGGTCCCGGTCCACATTTTTGTCAACAAAGTGAACATATATCGGTTAAAAAGATGAAATGTATGGACCACGTGCAAAGCTGTCAATTGTTTCTCGAATATTGCGCATGTTAAATATTCGATAGTGACATCTTATTTACATCTTCATCTACATCCACTTTCATTAAGTTAGTAAATTCTGTACAGACATCACACCGATCAACTCGCGCGCAAAGTGACGACCCTGTGATCAAGAAACGGGCAAGGAATATTCCACAATAGTGAAAATAATCGTAAAAGATGATCGCGGAAAAGCGATTGCGTGACGCGCGTTAAGCTGTAAGGTGACATGTTACCACGTATCAGACGAAGTGTAAATTCTCAGTCTGCATTTTGTACCCAGTCTGCAGTCTGCATTTTGTACTGAACGGTTGGTATTGCTGTTTTGTTTTAGCGAGCCTCAAGTCAGGACCGCAATTAATGGAGCTCGAAAGAAAACTTTTAGACTATCTTGGCCGTTATTATTGATGATTTGTTAACTGTATGTTAAAGAGCTCCCGAGGACAAGCACAATGATAGAGCAATGATTACTTCATACCAAATGAAGACGAACGCAAATGGGCGGCTTACCGATATGGCTGCCTCCGATGCTGATGCTCTTCTGCGTGGTCACAGCGTGTTTTGAAATGAACCCGCTACGGGTCCACTAGGTGTGAAAATTGCGGCTTTTCGATTCAAGTTGCATTTTTAGAAGTTCAGAAATGTGATTTCAGGTTATTATTGTTTTCAAACCATACAAACATTTTATTTCTTTCCACATGAGCTTCTGAGCTTCATTGAAATTTATTTTAACTTTCACTAAGTGGGAAGGGGTAGCATGCAAGACTACTTCCGTTTACAGTCCAAGAAGTAACTTCCGTCTACGGTCGACAACTTCCATCAACAACTGCTACACCACGATACCTCATTCATTGCTTTCAGCATGAATGAGCTAAAAAAAGGAGGCCAAAACTTAACAACAAAGGAGAATGCGATGATCTCCCAAAAGACTGCGACAAACTGTTAATCCGTGAACAACGTTGTCAGCATTAGCATAATGCATTTATTGAAAGAAAAGCGGTTCTCTTCCGAAACGTCTGCAAAGACAAAAACTAGGCTATGCAATAAGGTATCTTTTTATTTCTATTCGCTTTGCCAAAGTCCTTATAAAAATTATTTTCTAAAAATACTATTTCTATCATTATTTCCCTCTTCGTGGCAGAGGCGTTTACAATTAATCTTGTACTTTACTGCTAAAAATTGATGTGGAGAACATTTATTCTACAAAAATATCATGACTTGGAAATTTATTAAAAATCACAAATTGTCAATTTCATTTAGTTTAATCCGCGAAGTAATCCTCGAAGACTCCAAGGGCGGGCAGGACCTTTGTTACACATGTCACCTTCACAGCAGACTGTGGAACAAGCAGTCAACATACCACCAGTACTGTCGTTGGTAAGTTTGCACACTGCAAAGAAAACATCACGCTAAGGTAAGTTTAGTAGAGAGGATTGGGGCTTAATCATTTGACCCTTTGAGGACTTGAAGTTTACCGTCATACTCCCGAATAGATTTGCGAACGAAACTCTATATCCAGGAACAGCTGGAGTAGCTTCGGGATTAAAATTACCCAAGGAAAAACGGATACGCTTTAAGAAGACAAATTTGGAAAAGTTTAATTTTCCGTATTGATGTTGACAGGAAACAATTGACTCTTCGTGCGACAAGTAGACTCCAATTATGATGTAATATTTCTCGAGCATTATCGTCTAGATGTGCTTTTGCTAGGCTCATTGACATTTTCTTTTTCACTAGCTACAACGAATTTCATTGAAAATCATAAAATGATTGACGGTGTGTCCCACTGCTATAAGTCTGAAAGCTTATTAAACCCCTTCCATGCATCATGAGGGGGGAGGGGAGGGGGTAGGGGGGGGGAGTGAAGAAAGGAGCACCGATCTCAAGATTGTCGTGGCAAATATTCACTTACAATCGAGGTTACTGTTCTTGTCACAAAACAAGCTCCTGGAGCTGCAATTCCTCATCTCCGCGTTGAGTGGATCTCCCCCAGGTACTTGCACGGTCATTTTGAAAGTCATACAGCTATCAAAGCCTGGAGAAGTGCATTCGATGGATTTGATATCCTGACTGGTGCACGAACTGAATGATGATGGGTATCCTGAGATGTCTGCACATTCTTGGCATTTGAGAGCTAGAACTGAAAATATTGCATGAATGTTAAATTGTTGCGTTTCTCTTCCCCAAGAAGAAAATTCAAGCAACATGCAAATAAATTGAGTTTGGACAAAGCTATTCAATCAATTTTTTGATCTTATTAATTTTTGACATCATAATACAACGATTCCACCCCACCCAGTATTCTATTATGGAAATGTTCAGGGAACAGTTAGTGGTAACTATTAATAGTTTGTTCAGGGAACTGTAATACTCCTCTGTTAGACCAAAACGCACTTTACTTAAATTTTAACATTTACGCGAACTAACTTCTGATAAAAATAAATCACTACACGACGCAGTTATATATCTGAAAATCACACATTCAAACTCATTATTTCACTTCAAAACTTTGTCGTCGGCGCTCTATACACTACATGAACATAGACACATTTTCCTCTTTAAGTTGCGAGTTCCGCCTCGCGTTATGTCTGCAAGGTCAATAAATGGGGAAAGAGCATTTGCGAAAAATGATCAAAAACTACCAAGCATAAACTGGGAGAACACTGACAAGATACCAAGCTCTCTTATTGCACTCTATATCCCCACGAGGCTAATTGATTAAATCATTACGAAAAATGTCAGAACCATCCCCTGTGGGACATGTTCACTTACCAGTTGAAAGCGAAACGAGGAGAGCGCATACACTAGCTAGCCACAGTTTCATTTCGATCAGATGTATGTTAACCGATCAGGGAGCAGATCCTTCAATATGCAGAGCTAGAGGATCACCGGTACCTAGTAATGTAAAGGACTGAACAATCCGCGCCGCATTTATACAACTTCCTTTATGCCTACTGACGTCATGCTAAAGCTCCTTAAAATTTCTCGTGAGGTAGTCACTTCAAGATCGTTCAAAGCAGAAAAGACATTCGGAAGTTCGTCATCGTTGGTCGTGTAATCCTATACCTCTGATATAAGTAAGAAAGCATTTTGATCGGAGTTAAAAACAGCATGCATGCATCAGATTTTAGTCTTAAGCTCACCAGAATATCAAATCCTCCGCAGATTTTCTACGGTCTTGCTTGAGTAAGAAAAGGCAAGAGGAATGACTCCTCAGTTGAGAGAAGAAAAAAGGAAAGAGAAAGACAACAGCGATGAATGAAGGTGAATGAGGAAAAAAAGCTTCAGGTTTCCTACCAAAGGTCACTACGTTAGTATCATCTATTGATGTCATAACTTTCATGCTGTGATTTTCAGCCAATTAGAGCCAGGTATAGAAACGGCAGTCATCCACTGAGGAATTATTCAAACTGTTATCATCGACACTCAAAACTTGACTTGCCTGAACAAAACACACGGCTAGTCATCTCTTAAACTAAGTATAGTTATGTGACGTGACACTTCCTGACAATAATTTTGAATAGTCCGCACGAAAGCATTTCACTAGATCGAAAAAAAGTTTGGGTTTCGCTTCCGGAGCATGCCTTACGCAGGGGTATGATTTATTGAATGACCTCGTTGTTATGCTTCTCGTTTTTCATCAGACTAATTGAGCAAATTCTTACGGCCTGAATCGATCAATATCATGTATTTTGAGCTATCCAAAAGCCGTGTCTAAAACCGAAACTCTAAGCCCTAGAAGCCATTATTAGTGCCAGACCCCAGCAAAACTTTCCCCGACTCGTCTCAAATCTTCTCGCTGAGAAACGTGCGTCCTCCAGAGATAATGGACTTACTTGCAGCTTCCGGAAAGATGGCCATTCTGCTGAATGGTAAATCAACTAAGCTCCGGCATAAATGAAGACTAGAAGGTCATACTTGAACATAAATAGGAATTTTATCTTATATGTTTTTACCGAATCACCCTCTCACTCCAATACCGTTTTTTGAACAAAAATCCTGTTTAATCAGTCTGTTGATTGAGAAGTGAATACTAGTCCCTTCTCATATTGAGACTAAAAGAGAATTTGTAAAATAAACAACCCAGCGTTTGGAGTGCTGGTAGCATAAATTGATATTTTTCTGAGATGTCCATACATGATAACAAACAAGCCTGAGGTTTTCTGAGCCTCTAAAAATCATACGTTATCAGTCGTAAGTAATCATATCAAACTCATGGGGTACAAATAGTCTTAAAAGGAAAGTAGTGACCACGCCCACTTCAACACCCCACTGAAATCGAGTGTAATTTTCGAATGTTTTACCATTGTGCGGATTCTCTACGGAAAAAGCACTCAATGTACCTCTGAAATATTAAACTATAATATTGTGGCTTTCTATTTCGCCAATTTTCTAACTTGAAGGTAAAGTTTTTCCCTCGTCATTTTTACCTTTTCTCCGAGCGGTTGCGTGAAATTAAAAAGGCGTTTTTGATCAAAACACGATCGAGCGAAGGGTCTCGGGCGATATCTCTTTTACGCAGGCGCAAATTAAAAATGTACCGCCAGAATCAAAAAGAGGAACAAATTTCCTTTGTTTTGATATGTTAAGTGTCGAACAAAAAGCAGATTTACCCTCGTCAAATGGCGTTTCAAAACAGCTGTATCTTCCTCCTTTTGATTTTTTCCTGTTTTGTAAGCGTGAAAGCAGTAGGAGAGGGATCGGGAAACTCAGAAAGCGCTTCGGGAATTAGTCTGCCATCGTTTACTTACAAGATAAACAAGTACGATTTGTGAAGTTCGTTGAAGTACGAAGTCTAAATAAATGCCTTTTAAAGCTTGTTTGCTGGATTTTTCGTAAACATCCCTGATTAGTTTTCGTTTCAGCTTACTAATCTATACTGTTTCAAAGCAATGTAAAGACGAAGACGGAGAACCATGAGTCGGTCCTTTCAACAATCGTAAACAAAGTGTTTGAGCAATCAGGTATACGAGGTGTAATAATCAATAGCCGCACATTAGAAGTCTTCAGAAAGAAAGTATTCTGTCTTCAGAAGGCTGTTAAGAAAGCTAGTGATCGTGGCGGAAGGCAATTAAATGCGCTTCTTAGCAAGTTGGAAACGGGCTTTCGGTATCGATTTAATATCATATCGATCTCAGTATCATACAGTTTTGTATCTTTCCTCCATGGATTCGCCTTTCTAACGAGGGTTTATGTTGAGTATTCATTGCAAAATCGCTTTGTTTTTTTCTTTCTTTGGCTTGTCCGCCATTTTGAAAATTCGTAACGGAGAGCATGCGCATTACGTGGGGTTAGTGGTTGCGTACACCTGGAACCGAGAAAAACAAATGTTCGTCGCACTGGGGAAAGAGTTTGATATGGTTATACAACACAAATCGTTTTTTTCTTTTTATTTTTTAAATTTACTCAACTCCATCATTTGAAAACAAATATTCCCAAAACGTGAACATGCAACTGAGCTGTAATGTCAAAATTCCACGAAAAACATCAATGACGCCGATGCGCATGCCAAGAATAAGAAACTGCTGAAAGATAGGGCTGAGCCTGCGTTACAGTTGTCTTTGTCATTGCAACAGGTGATATCACAAGTGAAATCAGAGACAGCGGTTTCTCCACAGGTAGAATTTTCTGAGCTTCCACAAGAGAGCTCACGAGCACAGCCCTTGGAGAATATTTCACTTCCGCCATACTTAAAGTAGACCTTGATGCATTGGTTTTGTTGGGGAAGACACTTTTCCTGTGAAACTTTACAATCGTCCCACGAGGTTGAACTTGTACAAGCATTACATTCCAGACTTGATACTAGGAAAATCAAGTTAAGAAATTTTGACCATTAGTATTTTGTATATTGAAGCACTTTGGATTGCGGCTTTTCGATTCAAGTTGCATTTTTAGAAGTTCAGAAATGTGATTTGAGATTATTATTGTTTTCAAACCATACAAACATTTTATTTCTTTCCACATGAGCTTCTGAGCTTCATTGAAATTAATTTTAACTTTCACCAAGTGGGGAGGGGTAGCATGCAAGACTACTTCCGTTTACAGTCCAAGACGCAACTTCCGTCCACAGTCGACAACTTCCATCAACAACTGCTACACCACGATACCTCATTCATTGCTTTCAGCATGAATGAGCTAAAAAAGGAGGCCAAAACTTAACAACATAGAAGAATGCAATGATCTCCCAAAAGACTGCGACAAACTGTTGATCCGTGAACAACGTTGTCAACATTAGCATAATGCATTTATTGAAAGAAAAGCGGTTCTCTTCCGAAACGTCTGCAAAGACAAAAACTAGGCTATGCAATAAGGTGTCTTTTTTATTTCTATTCGCTTTGCCAAAGTCCTTATAAAAATTATTTTCTAAAAATACTATTTCTATCATTATTTCCCTCTTCGTGGCAGAGGCGTTTACAATTAATCTTGTACTTTACTGCTAAAAAATGATGCGGAGAACATTTATTCTACAAAAATATCATGACTTGGAAATTTATTAAAAATCACAAATTGTCAATTTCATTTAGTTTAATCCGCGAAGTAATCCTCGAAGACTCCAAGGGCGGGCAGGATCTATGTTACACATGTCACCTTCACAGCAGACTGTGGAACAAGCAGTCAATATGCCACCAGTACTGTCGTTGGTAAGTTTGCACACTGCAAAGAAAACATCACGCTAAGGTAAGTTTAGTAGAGAGGATTGGGGCTTAATCATTTGACCCTTTGAGGACTTGCAGTTAACCGTTATACTCCCGAATAGATTTGCGAACGAAACTCTATATCCAGGAACAGCTGGAGTAGCTTCGGGATTAAAATTACCCAAGGAAAACGGAACTTTTCGGATACGCTTTAAGAAGAAGACAAATTGGAAAAGTTTAATTTTCCGTTTTGATGTTGACAGGAAACAATTGCCTCTTTGTGCGACATGTAGACTCCAATTATGATGTAATATTTCTCGAGCATTATCGTCTAGATGTGCTTTTGCTAGGCTCATTGACATTTTCCTTTTCACTAGCTACAACGAATTTCATTGAAAATTATAAAATGATTGACGGTGTGTCTGAAAGCTTATTAAACCACTTCCATGCATCATGAGGGGGGAGGGGAGGGGGTAGGGGGGGGGGTGAAGAAAGGAGCACCGATCTCAAGATTGTCGCAGCAAATATTCACTTACAATCGAGGTTGCTGTTCTTGTCACAAAACAAGCTCCTGGAGCTGCAATTCCTCATCTCTGCGTTGAGTGGATTTTCCCCAGGTACTTGCACGGTCATTTTGAAAGTCATACAGCTATCAAAGCCTGGAGAAGTGCATTCGATGGATTTGATATCCTGACTGGTACACGAACTGAATGATGATGGGTATCCTGAGATGTCTGCACATTCTTGGCATTTGAGAGCTAGAACTGAAAATATTGCATGAATGTTAAATTGTTGCGTTTCTCTTCCCCAAGAAGAAAATTCAAGCAACATGCAAATAAATTGAGTTTGGACAAAGCTATTCAATCAATTTTTTGATCTTATTAATTTTTGACATCATAGTACAACGATTCCACCCCACCCAGTATTCTATTATGGAACTGTTCAGGGAACAGTTAGTGGTAACTATTAATAGTTTGTTCAGGGAACTGTAATACTCCTCTGTTAGACTAAAACGCACTTTACTTAAATTTTAACATTTACGCGAACTAACTTCTGATAAAAATAAATCACTACACGACGCAGTTATATATCTGAAAATCACACATTCAAACTCATTATTTCACTTCAAAACTTTGTCGTCGGCGCTCTATACACTACATGAACATAGACACATTTTCCTCTTTAAGTTGCGAGTTCCGCCTCGCGTTATGTCTGCAGAGGTCAATAAATGGGGAAAGAGCATTTGCGAAAAATGATCAAAAACTACCAAGCATAAACTGGGAGAACACTGACAAGATACCAAGCTCTCTTATTGCACTCTATATCCC